CGCCTCTTTTAGCCAACATTAAATACAACACAGAAGACAGGATGACTTTATGCACTCATCACAAAATCAGCTGACGGTCTCCTCCAGAGTATATTTTAAGAATGAAAGGATGCATGACTCAGCAGAAGTCCGAAAAAACTTTTGCTTATCTTAAATAGATTTGTCTACTGGCATGCTGATATCCCAGATAAACCTTGAAAAATGTGACCTTCAAATGCCCGTCTGGTGGAGAAAAAAACCTGATTCAGTGACATATAAGCCGACCTACATGTTGCACACTCGATCATACCGCATGCTGCTGCTGGTGCGCTTTTGCCTGTTACATGGTTGCCCCCTCAACCACATCCTTAGTCCACCACTAGTAGAAAAGACAACATTAGCAACTCTCTAGTGAACGTAGTGGAGCTTTAAGAAGCCGAGAAGTCAGAAATCTCTCACAGAGGATGTTAGAGAAGAAAAAACAGAGCAGACAGAAGAATGAATAGTGGCGTTGTATTCACCAGGTGTCCAGAAACACAACGTCCCACCACCACCACCCCATTATGACACCCCAGAGCATCCTCCTGCACCCAGAGGGTCAGTGAACTTGACTTGTTTGGGAGATCCTAAGCTTTATTAAAGTCTTCCTGGCAGCTGGAGAGACTCGCTTTGAGTAACACAGTGATTATGAAACGTGATGAATCAACTGTTTGTGGGCATCTGGATTCAGGAAACAACATGTGAAAGAACTCAAGTGTGGTCTGAAGCCTGTTATGTCATTAGAGGGGACATGGACTCACTGAGGACAAAAACAAATGTTCAGGAAAAGCACATGTGGCCTGTTGAGTTTCTTTTACGTGTGTGTGTGTGTGTGTGTGTGTGTGTGTGTGTGTGTGTGTGTGTGTGTGTGTGTGTGTGTGTGTGTGTGTGTGTGTGTGTGTGTGTGTGTGTGTGTGTGTGTGTGTGTGTGTGTGTGTGTGCAGGGATAACAGGGTTTATCCCTGTCAGGCTAAGAGTCTGGGATTGTCAAGTCTGCAGTTCCCATGCGAACCTAATTGGCAAACACACACACACACACACACACACACACACACACACACACACACACACACACACACACACACACACACACACACACACACACACACACACACTTGAAGCCCCCCTGCACACTGCTTCCTGTCCCTGTCCAAAGAATTTCAGCCATCACAGCTCTCATCCTGGGAAGACTCCTCCTTTCCTTTCCTTTCCTGCTCCTTCTCTTTAAATGTACTTCCCTGTCCTCTTTCCTCGTCTGTCGCTTTCCTTTCTTTCTCGCCGTGTCGAGGTTACTTCAGTTCAGGTCCATGTGTTCCGCTCGTGGTTTGATGGTCACTGTCCTCTCTCTCTCATCAAAACAAATTCCTTCCATATCTCCCCCTGTTTTCCTCTTCATGCTCTGTGCTTGTCAGAGAGAGACGAGCCTTTACTCTGCTGCATGATGGATCACTCTGAACAAACTAAACAATGCTGTGATTTCCTGCTAATGGCTGAAAGAACATTATATCCTCGTAAACGCCCCGGCCAGACAGTCAGTCTGTCTGTAAGTCTGTGACGCTGGTGAATAATCATCATCAGGAAGTGAGTGAAGGCTGTCACATCATCCCTGCGCTGACATCCTGCAGTGTATTTTCAGAAACTGTAAACATCTTCATAACACTGCATGAAAAAGAAGGAGGAAGAGGAGGTGGAGGAAGAGGAAGAGAAGGAGGAGGAGGAAGAGAAGGATGAGAGAAGGAGGAGGAAGAGGAGGGAGAGAAGGAGGAGAGGAGAAGGAGGAGGAAGAAGAGGAGGAAGAGGAAGAGGAGGAGGGAGAGAAGGAGGAGGTGGAGGATGGAGAGGAGGAGGAGGGAGAAAAGGAGGCGAGAAGGAGGAGGGAGAGAAGGAGGAGGAAGAGGAGGGAGAGGAAGAGGAGGAGGAGGAAGAGGAAGAGGAGGACGAGAAGGAGGAGGAGGAAGAGGAGGAGGAAGAGGAAGAGGAGGAGGAAGAGAAGGAGGAGGAGGAGGAGGAAGAGGAAGAGGAGGACGAGAAGGAGGAGGAGGAAGAGGAGGAGGAAGAGAAGGAGGAGGAGGTGTTAGGAGGAGGAGGGTTGAGGAGGAAGAGGAGGTGCTCTCTCTCTCAATTCTTCATCTCCTCCTGCTCCCTCTTGTTTGGTATCGATGGGTCAGTTATAATCGAGTTTCTTGCATAACTTGTTTTCATTCTGATGTTGCACTTTGGTTCCATGAAGTCAGATTAATAAACATCTGGACGGAGCAATTTGGGAGATTTTTCTGACTTTCTGGCGCTGATGTTCCTGATGTTCCTGCTGTTCTCTTTATATTTATTTGATCAGCTGGAGTAAACAGAGCATGGAACGAGACTGTGAGGACACTGGACACATGCTTCATTTAAGATTTAACTTATTCCCTCTGTGGTGTAAATAATGAGCATTTTCTATTGCAGTGAAGTCTCTCAATGAAACAGTTTAATCAGGTTTTCAGCATCAAAGTGTAACACGCTGAAAATGCTTTTTCATATTTTCATATTTTTCTGTCATTTTGTTATATGTGTATCTAGTTAAACTAATTTAATTTCCAGAAGTATTTAAGTTAATTTATATTTCTAAGATCATAACAAAGTTATAAACAGTAAATATATTTACTACCTTTTTATCTACCATTTTATTTTATTTTTTCTACCATTTTATCTACCTTTTAAGATTAAGACACTGGCCCTTTAAGGGAGGCTCAGTGAAGAAGACACAGGTGTGTGTAGGCTGAAAAATGAAGCTTGTGTAAAGCTGTGGGCATTTCTTAAATAAAGGTTAAGATGGACGAGTTCTGAGTTCATTTCAAGGGTGCAACAAAAGCAATACGGTCTTCTGCAGGATGGCACCTTACAGATCAGCTAGCATAGGGGTGGACAGTAGACCCATGCATACAACCCATTTTGGGTTAATTTGTTGTGCTATTTTACTGTCTTACTGTTCTGTATAACAGGGTACAAACACAGGCTAGGGGGAAGACATTGCTCCTCTGACATTGTTAATCCGCCAACAAAAAAAGTTACAGACCAGAATTCACATCTGTGTAAATGAGTGAGCCTCCATGGAGTCTGTAGACTCTTAGGGATGCCTAGCGTCAGGCTCTGAAGTTAATTTGCAGTGGATGTTTTTTTAAGTTTATGTCGAGGTGTTTTCGGTCTTGACTGAGGATAGTTATTAAGTAGTAGTATTAGTAGTAGTAATAATTTATTTCAGTCACAAGAAAAAAAAAAAAACATATATACCCTTGTTCCAAATCTTATTATTTAAGACACTACTAGTTTGGTTACAAGAAAACAAAACATATCAGAACAAAATTTGTTCCAAGAATTTATTTCAAAACAAAACAAATGAAACAAACAAAAAACAAAACAGAAGTCACACTCACAAAAAATAATGAAACCGACCTTTTATATTTGTTAAACACCATTTTTTTAAACCAAAATTTAAATCTGGAAAGTGAATACCCATTCTGGTAACACTTTATATTAAGATGCTTGTAATACGCATTAATAACAGGTAATAAGTCACTCATAAGACCTTATTAGATTCTTATTAACACAAATAAGACTATATTAGTGTTAATATGGGCATAATTAACACATTTATTATGTCTTATAAGACACTTGGGCTCTTATTAGAAATGTACTGACACTTTATATACTGTCATAAACATTAACAAGATGTTTATTAACATTAGTAAGACTTCATGAGTGTTAATTAAACTATGAATTAATTTATAATTGGCTTGTAAGATATTAACACAAAGAAACTTGTTTATAGACCACTTATCAACGTTCATAAGATGTTTATTGACATTGATAAGACATTATTAGGTTCATATTAATGCCTTATAAAGGTTAATAAATACTTTATTATGCACTTAAGAGTTAATAAAGCTCCTTTGCAGGTACTGGATCTAAAGTGGGAACACTACTTACAAAGATTAATACATACTTTATTATGCACTTATTAACAGCTCAACTTTCAAGTAAACACAGAAACAAAAAGGAGGTCTATTGAACTTCCACTCAAACAGTTTGTGAAAAAAAAATGCTACTACAAATACAAGTATTATCTTTAACGTTAACAATATTATGAAAACATTTGGTGTGTCATAGCTACCAACATATCTGATCAAATTCAGGGAAAAAGCATAGTTGTTTTTAACCCATGTTACTGTAAATAAAGTGTTAAAGGTGGTAGAAGACTAGGACTCCTGGACCCCAAGGTCTGAAAACCAGTCAGGAGTTTTTTTCGTTGGATTTCAATCCAGGTGTGTGTTTCTGTTTAATCTGTTCTGCTCTATGAAGTAGCAAAGGACGTTCTTCCTTAGAAGAAACAGTCTTCTTAATCCCTTAATATTACAGATTTTGTGTGTACATTTTGTCCACAAATGTGTCCAGAGGGAATATGTGACAGTAAATATAATTACAGCGAAAACCAGTTTAAAATGCAGTCGGAAAAATGTCAGTGAGAAACGTATAAGATGGACAAGGCAGCAAGGATATCTTCCAATACAGTTTAATTCATGGATACACCAGCGAAAAAATGTTTTTCAAGCGCCGTAATAAAACAATAACTCACCAAGTGTTTTCATGGCCCAGACTGAACTGCAGCCCTTGATGTGGTAATCGTTGGTCGAGCAGAAGTCTATCTTGATTTGAGACTGAAGCTGAGTGTGTAGAGAGGTGTGATTAAAGTTCTGCTTTTCAGAAAAAAAAAAAAAAACCTTAACAGAAGAGGGTCTCGACTAACCTCTTTCAAAGATCCTACATCCATTTTTTCTATGGCTGTGATGACAAAAAGAAAAATTAATTTTTCATTTGGTCAACAATAAGGCAAAGTTTGAAATGTGGAAAAACCCATCCTTCACATGAGTAGAAACACATTGTATATCCGTTGACAAAAACATAACACATATTAGCCCTCACTTATCAAACGTACATACGGCAGAAAAATGGGTGTACGTATTTTCCCTCGTATTTCTGTGTGAGGAGATAGTGGTACGTCTTCTCGTCACCACTGGATGGTTTCTCTACCAAAGCCTAAAAAGAAGAACCCACATCTTTATGTAGGTAATGAAATCCATTGGGATTATTACAGCTGGTGACATCATCAAAGCCATAGGTAAACTCAGACAAACGTTTCATGGCCAGACACAGGCCTTCACTTGTAGTGTGTCTTATAAACACTCTTACCCTGGTGAGAAGGATTCTCTTGTGGGGGACTGTCAAGGACCAAGCAGTAAGGCACAAGACACAGGAGTAAGTTTAAAGAAAAGGTAGGTTTTTATTTTACCCAAAAATAGAAAACCAAGTTTACAAACCAAACGGGCCTTGTGATCCGTCTCCAAGGTGAACTCTTGAGCAAGAAGGTAGTACCGGAAGGAATCAAGGGCCCACTTGATAGCCAGTGCCTCCTTCTCCACCGTCAAATATCGAACCTCTCTGGGGAACAGTTTCCGGCTGATGTAGGCGACTGGATGCCGTTCATCCTGAAGTCCCTGGAGTAACACAGCTCCAGAAGCATCAGTTTGCAGAAGAAATGTTCGTCAAAGTTTGGGCTGTACAGAAGAGGTTGCTTACTTAGTGATTGCTGGATATCACTGAAAGCTGCCACTGCCGTCTCTGTCCACTGGATCTGATTGGGACTCCGGGATCTAGTCAAGTCTGGGAGAAGCGCTGCCCTGTTGGAGAAATTGGATATGAAGCGGTGATAGAAGCCTGATAGTCCAAAAAAGATCGGAGCTGCTTCCTTGTTTGTAGAAGATGATGTGGCCTAGGTACTTCGATAGGATGACAGTCAGCCCGGCAGAATGAAGGCGACCCAAGACAGCTTGCAGGTGTTCCTCCCACGTGTTACTGTAAATGACAATGTCATCTAAATATGCTGCAGCAAAACCAGAGAAATAACAAATTACCTGGTCCATGAGTCTCTGGAAAGTTGCTGGAGCGCTGTGAAACTCAAATGGTATTACTGTGAAATGGAAAGGGCCCCATGGTGTCCTGAAGGCTGTCAGCTCCTGTGACCGATCGGTGAGAGGAATCTGCCAATAACCCTTGCAGACATCTATTGTGGTCAAGTATTATGCCTTTCAAGCAGTTCATATATTATTGGTGTTGGAAAGGAATCAAAGAGAGAAATTAAATTCAGGTATGAAATCAATGCAGAACCTTATGCTTCCATCCTTCTTTGGTACAAGCACCATTGGGTTACACCACTAGCTCTTTGAAGCCTTGATGATCCCCAGGGAAGGCATCAGGTTAACCTCCCTCCTCAGTGAGGCCAGCAGGCGCTCAGGGATCCTGTAACTTAATCTTCTCACAGAAGCACCTTCTCTAACAACAATGTCATGTTCAACAACATTTGTTCTCCCAGGATTCTCCTGGAAAACATCTGAATTACAGATAGATCTCACCTGAAGCCGTTGGCCACCTGATTGGTTACTGAGATCATGGTCTACCAGGTCACTAGAGAGGTAAGTATTGCTCATCCACTACTTCTTCATCCAGCACACTTCTTATTAGCATCACTTCTGTTTTTCTTTCAGGTCGCTGCACCCACTCTTTTAAGAGATTTATGTGAAGTACCTACTGGAGTGTGAGTGCCTTGGTGTCGATACCTGGTTGGCCCAAGTTTCTTTAGGATTTTGAATGGTCCTTGCCATTTAGCCAACAGTTTGTTAGCACCAGCACTTTCTGTCCAGGGTTGAAAAATCTCTGCCTGGCTGGTTGTAGAAAGGCAACTCAGCAGATGAAGATTTTCCAAGAGGTGAGTATTTATTTACACTGTAAGCCTGGATGAGTTGAATTTACTTAGAAAATGTGAAGAAACCGGTTGCCCTAAAAAAATTAAGTAATGTATAATGAAAACTTAAATGAATTTAACTTAGGTTTTTAAGTACAACAAACTAAATGCCAAGTTGATTTAACTTAAAATCTTTTGCAATGTCAATTGCTTTGCATAATTATTGCACTTATTATGTTAAGCCCATTGCACTAAATTACAAGTTGATTTAACTTAAAATCTTTTGTAATATTAAATTAAGTCCTCAAAGTGTTTCAAATTCTGTTTTTAATTTGTTGCAGCAAACATTTTAATTAACAATAAAACAATAACAAAATTACAGTCTTATTCTGTTTTATTTCAGAAGTTTTAACTTCAAACAACAACATGAGAAGTCAAGGAAAATAATGCCTTGCAAATCTCTGCAAGTTTTTCAACCTTTCTCTTTATGACAGTTACCGGTATTTTACAGTACATGCTGATTTTTCAGAGTCTGAATTTTGGGTGCCAGCTCACTTTTACCCAGGTTGAGCATCACCAGCTGGACAAAAAGAAGGTGTTTTTCATGTACTTGGGATAGTCCAGGTGCAGTCCAAAAAGAACACAGAAGGCCTGAGGAATGTTAGCCAGCTCATCCATCAACACATGCCCTTCCAAGATGATCCCCACTCTGGATGGGTTCAGCTGAGGATTTTCCTCATCAATGCAGAGGATTCCCACTGGAGTTTGACTGTATGAGTCCTTGTCAGTTGCGTTCTAAAAGAGAGAGAAACAGATTTAAAATTACCTTCAGATGTTGAGAATGAAGAGCCTCATCAAAAATAAACCGTACACTGAAAGTAATTATTTAAAGTAGAGGTCTTAGTCAGCGTTGAGAGGACATTTTACAACCTTGTGGCAGCAGCGGAGTCTGGCTCCAATGGTGGCCAATGGCGGCTTTTTCCTCCCTCAAACTATCAGAATTATATCGGCCTTAAAAAAAAAAAAAAAAAACATGCGTCACATCTATGTGCAAAAATTCAAAGTCCGCAGAAACGTGGCTTCTCCTACGTCCTCCTGTTAGCTGTAGCATTAGCTGCATGTAACGCTCGGTTCTAGCCCCCCTCGATAAAAATGTGTCAGTGTGACGTCATTGTCAGTGTGAGATCACTGATCTAAGCCCGTTGGCTCGTTGTGGCAAGCCCAGCAGCTCATGTTGAAATTTCCGAGACGCGTGCTGAGCAACTGACCAATAACGACAGAGCGGATCGGCAGACCAATCAGAGCAGACTTGGCCCACGTGGGGTCTAACAGTGTGGGCTCAACAGAGTGTAGCTGACGGACTCAGAGCGTAGAGGGAGCGAGGAGGAGCAGTACATGAAAACAGACACTTTTTTCAGACTTTATCTATTGTGAACGTACAAAAGTAGGAACATAGATTAAATATAAGAACCCCAAAAAGGGCAGAATATGGACTCTTAACAGCACTCAGCAGATTCATTAGACCACTGTACAGCAGCCGGGCCGTCGCCACCTTCTCTCTTCCGCTGGAATAGTACTGTGAAGCCCGCCTCGTATCCTTCGGTGTCGTCGGTCCCCTCAGCTGTTCAATGTGAAGCGGTGTCCGCCACACGACAGTAACAAAAGCAGGGCAGTTAGTTAACAGGTAGCTAGCAGTGGAATGAAGTCCCGTTTTCACTGCTCACAAACAGCCACCCGGGTACGAAAAGTGGCGAGGTACAGCTAACAGCTAGCCTAGTTAAAAGGTGAAAAATATCTGGCAAACTTGTGAACGTTTAAACAGTTTTAATTTCTCCCAAACCGCCTCTCCTACAATGAAAAAAGTAACGCTAGCTAAAAAGTAGCTAGCAGGTGAAAATGATGTTAACTGTGAAAACAAGGTTTCCACCGCTCTCAGAGTTAAAACAAATCTCACCAATAGCCCCTCAAATTGACACACTCATAATAATAATGAAGAGAAAACGAAGTTGGAGCAAAGATGCCCATTACCTGCAACCTAAAATTTCAAATGGTGCTCTTTCACAACGCAAAGGACATGAAGAGGCGTGGATATGACTACAACTTAGTATTTTAAGGCCATTTAACTTAAAGTTATTCACACATTCGACTGTGTCTACAAATTAGTAGAACAAACTCAACATGTTAAAGGCAGCACGTCCTCACGTCTCCTCATGCAAGAGCACACGTCTCCTGGCTTTATATACACTTTTCTCTTAAAGCAAATAAATCTACATAAACCCTTAAATTAACCTCAGATCATTTACTCAACTAAATTAACTTTAAATAATTAAATTACATTCTACCAGTAACTCAAACATGAAAGAAATTATTAGAAAGAAAGCATTTCTCAGAAATCTGCTGTATGTGATTAACATTGACTACCAAAGGAAGTGCAGTATACATTTAAAGTCATACAGAAGAACCTATTGAATATCGGTGGTGACCACTGCCCCCTTCAAGGGTCCATGGACTGAGAAAAAGAGTTTTCTGAAAGCTTCCGAGAAATATTTGGACATTGTCTCACAGATCTTTTCTGAAATGTTTGTTTTATCCACAGTAAGATCACCTCATTAAATGTGTTAAAAGTGACCAATAAATGATAAATGCAGCTAAAGAAGGACAACTGATTTTTTGCACATTCTTGGGTGGAAATGTTTTTACCAACAAGAGGTCACATTTGTAATCTGCTATCAAAGGTTGACGAACTAAAGTTGGTTGGTTTCTATAAAACAAATAACCTGTAGAGATTATACCTTTTTTTTATTTGTATTTGAAAGGAAGTTGAAAGTTTCCACAAGCAAAGAGAATCACTAAAAATGTATATACTGGACTGATTTAAGTTGACTAAAATATAAATCTATATATTCAATTTAAATTGATTAATTCATTTAACTCAATATTTTAGATGGATTCAACTTTTGATAAAGTATTTTAACTTTGGATTTCAAGTCAAAAGAAATTGAAAGAGCATTTTGCCTCAACTAGATAACGAGATCATTTCACCAGAACTGAGTTGTGTTCAAAAGTTTTGTGAACTTAAAGATTGAAGTACAACTGACTTGATGTTGAGTTTATGTGATTATAGAACAGTTTATTTATTTGGAATGATCACAAATTTATCTCAACTTATATTTTTTAAGTTCAGGTAACTTAACATTTTAAGGCAACCCAGACACTAACTTTCTAAGTCATAACTAGTTGTTTTTTTTACAGTGCTGTTCTAGCTTTCCCAGTCCTTGTGATCAAAATCTGTAGCTCACCTTCATCCTGCTGTGAACTTCTCATGCTGCAGAAAATGAAATGTTCTACATTTCAACTGATTGTGTTTGAAGATGCACTCCAAGGTCTGTCCTTTTGTATTTTTGGTGTCCTCGTGTCAGCCCAAGAAAAGGGAGTGTTTTACTCACTGCATTTGTTAACTGTGCTTCAAGTTGTTGGAATGGCCCTTTTTAAGGATGGACTGCAGATTGTATTTAGAAGTGTTTCTGCTGGAGTGGAGAACAGCAAATGTTAAACAAAAAGTCCAACTTGCCTTATATACATGTTATATAGTCTTATTTGTGTTAATAAGAATCTAATAAGGTCTTATAAGTGACTTATTACCTGTTATTAATGCTTATTACAAGCACCTTAATATAAAGTGTTACCCACATTCTTAATGCCATGGCACAAGTATTCCACAAGTTAACCCCTT